CATTCATGTTTATGCCTCCCATTTCTCACCTCTTGAATGACATAATTCTCACCTCTAAGATGTATGATCCTTATTGCTTTGTTGGCAATTCATCCATGACAAATATTTGTTATCCAGTCTCATGCACTGTGCATCTCTAGATGATAGACTGATTCTTTAGCATGCTGGTAGAGTATGGAGAAAGTATCTTGATTTCAATTGTGGTACTACCCTTTCTCCTGCACAGGCGGGTGAACAAGAGCCCATACTCTATTGCGTCAGCAAATGATGCAGTGGAGGACAAGGAAGCCAAGCCCAATGCTGCAACTTCACCAGATGCAGGCTGTTACAAGAAATCCCATGTGCCTCAAGAAGAACATCAACCAGAGGCAGCAGCTCATCTGGCTTAAGACATGCGGGGAGCCTTCTTTTAATCTAAATTCAATGATCTTATATTAGTTGTGTTGTTGTTGCTGTTGTTGTTGTTGTAAGGTGTAAAGTGTAGTAGGGATTATGATGTTTGATCTGCCGTAAGAGTTAAAATGAGGAGAACAAGCTTACAATTCCCTCGGCAAATGAAACAGGTCTCATGGTAAGTCAGATGATTAGTCCATGAGTTTGCTGCTTCTCTTGCTGATGGAGTATTTGTTCACTCGTTGGACTCCTAGCTCCAAAGGCAGATGGATGTCTTTTAGGTGATTGCTCCCAGCAAAAGTGTTAATGTCTCTAAACTAAATGACTAATGACAAACCAATTACTGAGCATCTTGTATTGATCATGTATGACACTTGTACTCGGTTCTGTGGCCTTTTCCCAGAGTTGAGACAGATCATTTGTATGAACTTCATATATATGTTACCTCTGAAGTTGTCTATTGGGTAAATCCTACCCTTTTACCTAATTTGTCTCACTAGACCTCATCTTAGAAGATAAAAGTAATGCTAGCCAGCGCTTCATTGAAGATGCTGTGCCCCAATCTGTGTGGTTTGTGATAAGTAATGCATCTTCCTCGTACGGTTCAGAGGTTCAGCCTGTGAGAAGAAAGGAAGAATTTGCTTGCTGGGGTTCCCCTAATCACCAGGTATAATTGATTAAATTGACTGCCTTTAAGAAGCTTCACTGATTAAGATATTCCCACCATTTCGGGCCTTCTGCATTTGTATGGGCTATTCTATAAGTCTCGACAAAGAAAATTATGCTTTATAGTTTACACTGATATGCAATTAGGGATGGCAAGTGACCACAATCTTTGCAGGGCCCATAGGGATCTCCATCACAGGACGAGGTGAGAAGGAATATTCTTTCCTATTGAGCGAGATGAAAGGTAATTTTGCAATGAATTTTTCCTATCTCATGGAGCCCCATAAGAATCCTCATCCTTGTAAAAAATTAAAAGAATATATAAATTAATATTATTTTAAATTTAATTCAACTTTCAAACTCAAACTCAATCTAATAAAAATTAAACATAATCCAATTTTATCCATTTTTAAAATTTTATTTATTATAATTAAATATTAATTAATTATATGTAAAGAATTTATATTTTGATATTAATTGACAAAAAATGAAGATCTCCATTCCTCGTGGGGAATGGGGATTGTAGGGTGGGGAAATTTGGCCCGTCGTCAAAGATCCCTACAGGAATGGGGATGGAGAAGATCCCTACAGGAATGGAGATGGAGAGCGACTCTTTTAACTCCACGGAACTGTTGACATCCCTATTTGTAATGTCAATGCGGCGGCTCCCCAAAAAAGTTTGGCACAAGCGAAAAAAATGATAATGGATACTAATGGCACTATTCATTCATTTGACAGATCCAAATCTTCCATCTCAGGATAGAATCCCAGATTCCATGAAATCAATAGTAAGTACGAAAATGGCAAAGAATGCCTTACCGAGTTGATTATAAGCAGAAAACTCAAGGTCACTAATTTCTGATAAAACCCAAACCGTATACTATCATCAAATGTCAAATATTACTTGACTGAAATGAAAAACATGGAAACAGATGGAAGGGCGAGACTAGTGCAAGAACGGTTGACATGGAGCAAAAGACAAACACATCATAATTGGGATGAAAAGTGAATGCGCATTATTGAAAATACCCACACTGCGCATGAGGGTCTCTCAGAGAGTTTTAACATTTAAAGCTCAATACAGTCAAGCAAGCTCTCTACATATCAAAACACCTTGTCCAGTTACCATTAGGGAGTAGCTAAACTTGGTAGCTAGAGTAACTGCCTTACAAGTTACGTCCATACAGATTCTAGTGCAGACTACGCATGATGCCATGTAGGTAGCCTCCTGTCATCGCCAGAGAGACAAGAGATACAACACCTGCAGGGAAAACCTTCCCCGACCTCTTGAAACGGGAACCCATCACTACCAGTAGTGCAGAAGATACACCTTCAAATTGAAAATGAACAAAGAAATTAGAGTTAAACTTGTATTAAAGCTAATGTCCAGTGATATTTTAGTTACGGAGTAATGTTGTCCTCTTTTATTCATTCCTCATCATCTAGAACTCTAAAGTTAGTTATGGAGTAATGTTGTCCTCTTTTATTCAAGGATAGACTGAAGAACACAAATAATCAAATCAGAGTGTTCTCCATACTTTATGAATTCTTAAAACACAAGACACCCTACAGAAGGAAATCCCCTTAATTTACTGTGATTAAATGTCAGTGGCTGGCAAATACCTTTTGTCTGAATTATGAAAAATCAATTCACAAACCAGAAGCATGTAAAGTGAATGCCGAAGGAGATCAGTTATAACACATGGTCTAACACATGGTCTTGTTAGGTTCAAACTTTGTAAAACATACTCTACTCCCAATCTATACTCCTTGCTAGATCAGTTATTACTTCCTTTAGAAGAACAGGAGTTTGTTTAGTCCTCAAGTATCATGCAATTGCAACTTATTGATGAAAATTATCCAAATCCAAAGTGATCTCCCTTAGGCCAAGGCAATGATATCGAAAACTAATACAAGTATTAGTAACCAATTTTTAAAGAGCTTATTGTATTTATCTCTCTCTCCCATTCTGATACCAATTCCCCCTCCTTTCTATTGTATCTTTGTGAAAGCAAGTGATTATCCTAGATCTCAAGAAATTAGGCATTAATATAAAGACAAAAAACTGAAAAGGTGACTTACCAAGCCCTAAGGATGATGCAAGAACTGGCCTTGCAGGAAGCTCAGTGTAAACATAACACAGCAGCGAGGCTGACAATCCTCCAGCCAGAAGTGACTTCTGGCTGCCACTCTTCATGTAGCCCATAAAACCACCCACTGTCATAAAATTCAACCCTAACTAAATTAAACATTTCCACAAGGATTTCAGAAACATGAACATATCAAAGTAATCACCAATTCAAGCTAAAATACCAATTCTTTGATAATCGATTCAACTCTAACTAAATTAAACATTTCCAAATGGAGTCTATAAAGCTCAATCTACCGAAGCAATCACTAATTCAAGCTGAAAGATCAATTCTTTGATAATTGTGTTATGGGAAAACAAACTTACATCCAAGAAGAGCAGCATACCCAAGAGTGAATTTCTGGGACATAGACATTTCCATCTTTTTCCTGTTCCCGTCGTCAAAAGCCTCTCCTTCTCCCTCGTCCCCTCTACCACCTCCGCCGCTATTATCTCCACCACCACCACCGCCTCCTGCGCCGCTGTTGTCGTCAAATTTGTCTCCCCCGCTGCCTCCTGTGTCCGCTTCGAACCCGATCCCTTCAATCGCAGAACCAACAGTATGGCTGACTACAGTGGGCGGTGCAGCTGCACCAGATGACACTACCCCAGCTGCAGTGATCCCCTTCAACTGAAACCGATAATTCCAAGACACCGCGAATCCCGGATAACCGTTACCGCTCGGGCTCCCGTTCTTGAATCCAAGCTTCGTTTGGTGAAGCTGAAGAAGTGTACTATGCAAAACACTAAACAACTCCCCCATTCATGTATTTGACTATTTGTGCGACGCCCATAGGTCCTTCGCCTTCGTCTTCTACGTTCCCCTCTCTGGAAACTTCTCATCTCGGCCCGTCTGGGTCCATAACTAATGGACTGAATGCATAAGTCCTCTTTGAACTTGGATTAATTGGGTCTACTTGAATGGGTTGAATCTGCTATTTACAAGCCCATGTAGTATGGAAGAGCCTCGAGATCCGTGCTTTTCTGTCTGAAAACATTTGCAGAAAAAGTGAACGTAATTAACGGCTTTTTTGTCTTTAGTTTAAGGGCATCGGGAATCGGTTCTTGGGTCTGAAGGCATTTTGACTTTCCGCCGGAGACAGAGAAGAAAGCAAAACAGAGATTCCTCAACGAGGAAGTAAAGAAACAGAGTCCCTTGCTTTTGCTTTACAATTTACAAAGGTCAGCCAGCAGCTCCCCCTCTCCATCCCCTTTGACATCTTAAAATACATTCTCTAATTGAAAATGCTGTCTTTTTCTCTTTTCCTCAATTAGGGTTACGTGTGTTTTCACTTTCTTTTTTGGTTAAAGTGAAAATTAACTATTCTTGGGCTTTGTTTGCTGCTGGTGCTCACAGCCCCCCCTTATCCCAGAATCCAATGCCATGTCTCCGTTTTCTTGGATATATACCCTCTCTACATGGAAAACAGTAGGGGGTAGATAGAGTGTACCAGGGTCAACTACATTTGTTTGTCTCAAAGCAAAACCCCGTGTGCTTTGATACTCTCTCCTTTCTCTTTTGTGGTTTTTGGCCTTGTCTCTGGTGTCAACGCTTTGAAAAAGAGCTACCCTTGCACGGGGACCTTCCTAGTTCCTACCTCTCTTCCTTTGTTTTCCCTTTGCTAGATTGCTTTCTTGCCCTTCCTCTTTTCTTTGTTTGGACTTTGGGTTGCTTGCCCTTCTTTAAAACCCTCAAAACTCACATCACCAAGTGCCACTTACAACTTTGCTGTTTCACTCTCTCACTATCAAGCTCTCCCATCAGGTACAATCACCTTCTCCTTTTCTGTCCTCTGTGTTTTCTGAGTTCTTGTTGTTTTTTGCAACCTTGATTCTTGTTGATTTCAGCATTTTGTATGTGGGATCTTTGGATGAATTGATGTTATTCAGTTTGTAGAGCAACTTTCTTTTGATGATTTTCTTCTTTCTGTTGTTGTTTCTTTTTGGCTGAGCTTTACTCGAATTACTTGACTTTTCTATTCTTTTTCACTAGGAGAAATTTCTCGGCTTTTGTAGAAACTTTGAATCAAGTTTTTTCTTCTGTTGATCCTAAATCGTCATTTGAGAAAATGCTAATGTCAAAATAAGGTGTAGTTAGGGTTTTCTCCGACTTGAGTTTAGATATGGACAATTTCCTTTTAATTTATTAGAAATGCTGTTGTTAATTTACATTATTCTTTGCAATTGCAGCAATTTTTTTCTGAAAGATTTAGCCAAATGGAGAAGGGGGATGGCTTGATTTCGAGGGGATCTCGGAAGAGAAAGATGACTGAAGAAAAGAATGACATTTCAGCCATGGATGAACTAAATGAAGACCTCCTGGAAAGGGTCCTCTCATGGCTGCCAACTTCCACATTCTTTCGCCTTAGTTCAGTGTGCAAGAGATGGAAATCTGTTACATCTTCAGCAAGTTTCAAGCTTGCTTGCTCTGAGATTCCTACTCGGGATCCTTGGTTTTTCATGGTGAACAACCGTCTGAACCAATCGGTTGTCTTTGACTCTGCTGAAAGAAGTTGGAAGAAACTCAATCATCCTGCTCTCCTCATGGAAGACATTAACATTGATTCAATTCCTGTTGCAGCATCCGGAGGCCTAGTCTGTTTCAGGAATGTCTCTGGCAACTTCATCGTGTGCAATCCTGTGACAGGATCCTGTCGTGAACTCCCTCCACTGGATCCAGCTCCGCAAGATCAAGCTCTCCATGCCATTTCAATGAATGCAAACTCCAACCAGAACGGTTTGTACAAGCTTGTATTAGTATATGGTGAGCTCCCAAAACTCTCATTCAAAGTCTACACTTCAAGTACTGATTCCTGGGAAGAAAATGTGAATTTGAGGAGAAAGGTTGATGATTGTAGTTCAGAATTCGACTCAAATGAAGAAGATGCAGTCTACTTCCTTAGCAAGGGAGGAAATGTAATGGCAACCAATATGCAGAGAAGTCCATCCAAGCAGTACTCATCAGTTATCACTCATAAAGACGGCGAGGAAACTGTTTACTTCCTTAGCTCCTCAGGGACAGTTGTGGCTTGCAATCTGACCCACAAGTGCTTCTCTGAGTATCCAAGGCTGTTTCCTGGTTATTCAGAATACTCCATTGATGTGGTAGAGTGTAGAGGGCAGATGCTGGTTGTTGTGCTATCAGAATTCTTAGAAAGTGCTAGTCTTAGAGTATGGAGGTTTGATGAGAAAACCAGGTTTTGGCATCAGATTGCAGCCATGCCTCCGGCAATGTCACATGAATTCTATAGCAAGAAGATGGATATAAACTGTGTAGGGTCCGGTGACCGGATATTCATCTGCTTAAGCTCTGCTGACCTTTGCAACTATGTTGTGTGTGATTTAGTGACCAATAAATGGGTTGAGCTACCCAAATGTTGCAAGGATGGTGAAGCATTAGAGTTCATGTCTGCTTTCTCCTTCGAGCCAAGGATTGAAGCTTCTGTATGACAGTAAAATCAAGTTGGAAAGTGCAGAAATAAATCCAGGATGTTGATTGTCATTTGTGATTCTTTTTTAACTTGTCTGATTTTTTTTTTTGAAAATTTTCTCTTTTTTTCTTTTTTTTGTTTGATTTTTTTTGTATTCATTGCATCCACTGTACTGATTTTCTATCTCATTTGAATTGTTAATTTTTTATGGAAAAAGAGTAGAATTAAACTCTCTTTTTTTTTTAAATTGTAAACTCAAATTCAACACTTTAAATTTCTTTTATTAAAAAAATCAATTAAATTAAAGAATAAAAAAAAAAAAGAGTAAAAAGGATAATATTTCTGGTCCCCCTGGAAATCCCACGGTGGGTTGTAATACCGTGTAGCAACGATATTGACGAGCAAGTAATGGTAAACGGCGCCTGAATTCTGGATCGCCGGATTGCTGCTGTTAAAGGTCGCCGAAGGGTTTTCTCTGCCCGTCGGAGAAGGGCC